TTTGAGAGACAGAGAGACACAGAGCGTGAGCGGGGGAGGGGCAGAGAGAGAGGGAAACACAGAATCCAAAGCGGGCTCCGGGCTCCGAGCTGTCGGCACAGAGCTCGACGTGGGGCTAGAACCCGCGAACCTTGAGACCATGACCTGAGCTGCAGTCCAACTCTTAACCAACGGAGCCACCTTGGCGCCCCTAACCTCATCTACATCTAATCGCTCCCTGCTATGATTGTGTCAGGCTGTGTGTCTGGGGTCCGTGCATTGGTGCAGACTCCAACAAGGGCAAAGGTTTGTCTCACGGACCTGCCTACGCCAGCAGTCGTAAGCCAGGTGTCCTCACAGACCACACATCGCAGAGTGCTGGGCGGACGAGCCAGGGTGTGTGCAGCACCTCCCGGTGTGACGACTTTCTTTGGCCCCTCGTGCCCACTGTGGGTCTCACACGCTTCCTCCACGGGGTCCGAGGCATTTTATCCGCTTCTCTCTTCGTGAAATGTGCTGCTTCTTCCTTTCTCTACTCCCCAACTAAGGACTTAAAAAGCTAGGTCGTGCCTCTTTTCCTCTGAATTCTGACATAGTTGGCTCTCTGTGTTGGAGTCTTATGATGCCAACCCATTTACTGGCAAATACAGAGCACTGGCATCGGCATTCTGTAGCCCAAGCTGTGAAGAGGTGCTAAAAACCTGGGTACGCATAATTGCTTACGCCAGTGAGGGGTGGCCTTGACACTTAAATACGGCCCGTACGCCATCAAAGCTAGTTTTCATTTATGCACAGGGCATTCCGTCCAGCCCATGTTCAGGACGAAGCAACTCAACATTGCAGTGACACACTAAAGGTTCTTGCTCATTGCCTCGACCTGTGGAGTAACAGGCACATATGTGAGGCAGCCTCTACGTTCAATCCAAAGGAAACGCCTCATCAGTTAAAACAAAATGTCAAAGAAAATGCCACTGAGACTGTCTGACTGTGATCCCCAATAGGCTGGGTTATCTTTAAGGAAAATGATGGCTTCAAAGCTTTCCACACAGCTTTACAGATCATGGAAGTATCTGTCCATCGGGTCATTTTTAGTAAAATCAATTATGTCCCTAGAAATACTTACAACTGAAAACAAGATCAATCTTAGAGGAAACTGCAAGACATTCTTTCAGTTAAGCTTCTAAATTGTTGCATTCATATTAAATACATTTTGAAAAATGTCTCATTTTATATTGTTTTAACCCAATAAAACAAAAGGGGGAAGTCAGTGTGACATTGGCAAAAGAACGGACACACAGGTAGGTGGAGGAGAGTAGGAAATGCAGAAATTGAGACCCATGAACACAGTGAACCGATCTTTGGCAAAGGAGCAGAAGGCAATACATATGGAGCAAAGACGGTCTTTCAGCAAACGGCACCAGGCCACGCAGACATGCGCGTGCCAGGACTTCACACCCATCACAAGAATGACTTTGAAATGGATCAAAGACCCAAATGGAAAGTATAAACCTCTAGAAGTAACATAGGAGAAAACGTAGGGGACCCTTGATTGGGGGGATAACTATTTAAGTCCAACACCAGAGGCATGTTCCATGAAAGAAAGAACCAGTAAGTTGTACTCCATCAAAACTGAAAACTTCTGCTCCGTAAAAGACACCATGAAGAGAATGAGAAGAGAAGATGTAGTGTAGGAGGAAATACTTAGGAAGGACATCTCTGATAAAGGACTGTTAGCCAAAATATACAAAGAACTCCTAAAACTCAACAAGAAACATCTTTTTTTTTTT